TTATTTTCTCGTCCACATTTTGATTATTCCTGTGTAAATATTTACTATCTCTCTTTCCCATCCTTTTACGGACATGTTACTATTCATTTCTTTTATTTTGCTTTCAATCTCTTCCTTTTTTCATCAGGTATCAGCATGTTTAATGCCCCACAAACCTATGCTGATGATAATGCGGAAGTGCAAAAGGGTGGCTCGACACCTCGTCTGAGTTCGCCCAAATCTTTGCTGCTTTGGTTGACCGGCTCCTTCAACCGGTCTTTGCTTGTCTTTAAGCTATTCTACTTCTTCTTCTTTGCCGCGTTCGGCTCACTTTTTCCTCTGATCTCGATCTACTTTAAGCAGCTTGGCCTGAATGCCACGCAGTGTGGGGTGCTCTCGGGAATCCGCTCCCTAGTTGAATGCTTTGGAGCGCCGTTTTGGAGCAGCCTGGCCGAGAAATGGAAGAAGGCCAAGGAGTTCTTCATCTTCAGTTTGCTTTGCTGGATCGCCTTCAACCTAGCCGTGGGCTTTGTGAGGCCCACGCCCGAGGGTTGTCTCATCACATTACTGACCACACCATCTGAGTCAGTCAACCTTTCCACCGCTCCGATGGCCATTGCTGAGATCTACAGAAACTATCGATACGACAATGTGAAAGCCATGGAAATGGATCGTGACGTGTCATTTCCGAGCCGGGACAGAATCGGCCAGACTCCGCTGCTGCTCAACACCGAGTTGCTGGTAGACCCGAGTGCTTACGTAGGCGAGGCCTGGACATGGGGCCAAAAGGTACGTTCTCGCGGTAAGACCAACTATGCAAAAGACCTACCTCGCTTCCACGACCCTGAAAGGTATCCACCCGGAAGTCTAGTCATGCCGTTGTACTCCACGGTGGTCTACAGCCAAAGCAAAATAAACCAGATTTTCGTGGTTCTGTTGCTGCTCATTCTGGTCGGGGAGTTATTCAGCTGCCCGGCCATCTGCCTGGCTGACTCGTGTGTTCTGTTGCACTTAGAAGACGACCCTGACAACACCTACGGCAAGCAACGGATGCTCGGGTCAGTCGGGTGGGGCCTGATGATGCTGTTCATCGGGATTGTACTCGACAACTCGGCCTCCTTTCCTGAGCATCCATGCCTGGCTCCGGGTCACCGAGAGCGCAATTACATGATCTGTTTTGCCATGTTCAGTGTGCTCATGTCCTGTGCCTTGATTACGGCTACACAGTTCACCTTCGGCTATGAGCGTGGCCAAGAGAGCATGTACTTCAAAGTGGTCAAGGACAAGATGGCTCGGACCCTGTTGGGTCGTCAGACGAAGAATCGGTCAAAACTGGTCAATGAAGAGGATGAAGAGACGCCGCAATTTGCGGAGGTCTCGGAAATGGCCGGAGAAGGAGGGGATTCAAGCAAAGTGTCTGCTAAAGGAGCACAATCAAAGCCCACAAACGAGGAAATCCTCGAACGCCAGCTGGGCATCAAGTTAGACAGGAGTTCCGCTCCGCAGAAGGCGGCTCTCACAGAAGTGGACCCTTATGCGGAAGACCTCGCTTCGACAGCCCAACTCAAGGTATCCTCCACCTTCCATGTTTGCAATGCCTTCATTTCCTCTCCTTTAATCGGTTTCAGCAGAAGCACAAAAGCTTGCCCTTTGTCTGACCGGGTCTTTCATTAACTGATTGAAAGAGGTTAGATTTTGTATTCCAATGTTGAACCCCAGCTTATATGCATATCATTGGACGATCAATTGTGGTTCACATACTCGAGAAGCATCAATGTAGGGTAATGCAGAACGATTAAAAAATAAGAGACGCTCCCTACCAAGATATCTTTTCAAGGAATCTAAAGCCAGTTTTGGGAGCCATAAAA